AGTATGGGTCTCTTGTTCCTTTGTTATCTGCTCCATTTATTGCCTTTGGTCTGAATAGCCCAGTGTTTTGTTAATTGGCTGGTTTTTTGGTCAAGTAGGGTTTTCTCAGCTGATGTTTGTGGGGGTTTGGGTAACTAGATCCAATATATTGTCAGGTTCTTCTGACTAATGTAGACTTTACTTGTGCCTATAGGGTCTGTTCTTCCAACTCCATCTCCTGCTCCCTCCCCCTTCCTCCCACTCCATCTCATCCCCATCCAGTCGTCAGAGAATGTAAGGCTTTCCAAGAGGAGTCAACAAAGTCTAGCACATTGCTTTGAGGCAGGACCCAGCACCTCCACCCTCTATAGCTAGACTGAGAAAGATATCCCTCCAGAGAGAATGGGTTCCAAAAAGCCAGAACAAGCAGTAGGGACAAATCTTGGTGCCACTGTCAGTGGCTGGTATGCGAGGTTTTTTTTATGTGTTGTTTTTATTGGTTAAAGAATAAAGAAACTGCTTTGGACCTGATAGGGCAGAACTTAGGTAGGTGGAGAAGACAGAACTGAATGCTGGGAAGAAGGCAGAGTCAGAGAGACGCAATTGATCTTCTGCCTGAGATGGACACTGGTTAGAATCTTGCCAGTAAGCCACAGTCACGTGGCAATACACAGATTAATAAAAATGGGTTAAATTAAGATGTAAAAATTCACCAATAATAAACTAGAGCTAATGAGCCAGGCAGTGATTTAATTAATACAGTTTCTGTGTAGTTATTTCGGGGGCTAAGTTAGCTGGGCAGCAGGGATAAACAAGGGGCCCCGCTCCTTGTAACAAATGGCCTCGCAGTCTGTCCCAGACAAACAACTGTCACCCACATTTGGAGGGCCTAGTTTACTCCTGTGCTGGTTCCCTCGCTGTCTGACTGGACTCAATGAGCTCCCATAGCTCAGATAAGCTGTTTCAGTGGGTGAACCCATCATGGTCTTGACCGCTTTGTTCATACTCTCACTCCTCCTTCTCTTCAAATGGACTTTGGCAGTTCAGTCCAATGTTCTGCTTTGGTTCTCTGCATCTGCTTCTATAAGTTGCTGGATATTCATCAGTCTGACTACAGGGCAAGGCCAGTCCAGGCACCCTCTTCACTATTGCTTGGGGTCTTAGCTGGGGTCATTGTTGTGAATTCCTGGGAATTTCTCTAGTGCCAGGTTTCTTGCTAGCCCCATAATGGCCCCCCCAATCAAGATATCTCTTTCCTTGTTCTCCCTCTCTGTCCTTCCCCCCACCTCTACCATCCAGTTCCCTCAAGTTCTCCTCCTCCCGCCCCTTCTCTCCTCCTCCTCCCTTTCCACCTTCCCTTCTCCCCCCACCCCCACGCTCCCAATTTTCTCAGGAGACCTTGTCTATTTCCCTTTCCCAGGAGGAATCTATGTATGTTTCTTTTAGGGTTCTCCTTGTATTTAGCCTCTCTGCACTGTGGACTATAGGCTCATTATCCTTTGTTTTACAGCGAGTATTCACCTATTGAGTGGGTACATATCTGTTGTGCCTGCGCTATGGGACAGTTTGAGAGTTGGGCATAGGGCTGGAGATTAAAGAACACAAGAAATGTGGGTCATTTGTGAAGAGAGAATGCAGAATGCCATTTATTCAAGCTTAGAGAAAGCCTTATATACCTAACTGCTGCACAGTGGAAACCTCCAGGCAGGTGGGAAATTACCAGACTCAAAACTGAGCAAATAACTCCTCTGTAGCTAACTACCAGTGTGGACAGACAGGAACAAACAAGACGTTTTGCCAGAAACTGCAAGCTACTCTCAATATGAACCGTGGGAGGAGGGGTAGAACTGTGGGCCCTACAGGTCCCCCTTTATTATAAATTACATAACTAGGCCTGTCTTAGGTGCAGTGGAAATCAGGCAACACCCGTTGCCTGTCATAGGAAAGTATCCAGGTCAAAACATATTTCCTGTCTTAGGTTGGGGCAGCCCCCCAAAAACCTTTCCCATCATTGGCTCACTAGTCACCCATCGCCACGTTCAGCCAGATTTGCACTGAAAGATCCTCCGGAGCAATAGCTAAGAGGACGTGCCGAGTGGTGAAATTGACCTGAACTTGCCTCTGGCTCTGGCTCTATAAAAACATGAAGATGATAAAGGCTCCAGCACACATAAGCATTCCTAAGGAAGCTGTGCCTGTCCAATCCTTAATGGGTCTGCCCACAAGTTGGAGTCCCTTAAGTAAGGTCTCAGCACTGGTGAGGGGAACTCTGGTATTATTAACTAGAATAATCTCATGAGCCAATTTGTGCATAAGATTAAGAAATTGTGCACTCCAGGGTCCGCGAATAGCAGCATTAAGCATTTTCACTGTATCCTTTAAGTTTGTAACCTTAGCAGTGGTAACACATATGTAATGAAATGAAGGGGAACAGGATAGCATATGAGCTTCCCTGAGTAAGTCTATTTCTTCTTGAACCACAACCAGTTGCAAATTTAACTGCACTATTCCTTTGTGAATATAGCTATTACTATCATTTTGAGTGGCCAAGGTATTTGTGACCTGCCCCAATAAGGTATCCACCATGCTAGCAGTAGCAACTGACTGACAACTCCAGCAGCCGTAGCTGCCATGGAAGCCACAGCCAAAATATATTCTTGCTCGATGCAGGATGAGTTGATCATCACGGGATGTGTTTACAGGTAGAGGAACAATCCTTGGCACTCGGACAACCACAGCCAGCTACTCAGAACCCCAGTAACTCTTCAGTTGACCAACCTGCTCAGAACAGTTTAAAACTCCAGAAATATCAGCAGGATGATCAGCAACAGTAAAAAAACAGGGGGGGGGGGGCAGTGACACAAACTTCTGCCTGGAAAGTACAATTTTTATCTTTTCCATTTTGATGAATCCTCAGAGTGCAAAAACTAAGATAAGCTTGAGGCCCCCAATCTTCAAAAGCAGACAGCACAGCATGTTGCATGGGGTTACAGTAATGAAAATGCCTGCTGTCCTTGGATTGATTTTTGGCTGGTGGCTTGAGATCCTACCACCATAGATCTGTCTGGGACAAATTAAGAGTCCAGCGGGAGGTGGTAATGCACTCAGCCCATAGGATGGAAAGACTTCAATCATAACTTAAGGGCCCAGGCCAGCAACCACTGACTGGAGCCGCTGGGTGAATTCTGCTAATAAAGTATACCTTGAGACCTGCCACCGAGGCATTGTTGATCACAAGGCAACCACTTGCAGCAATGGAGGTAGGCTCATGAGGTTCCTAATTTTCTCAAATCACAGGACTTCAGCTAAATTCTAAATCCTCATGATATTATTTTGGGTTGTATCCAAAGGCACAGCGGGTTTACCTGTGCCAAAATTGGTAGATAAAAAATAGGGCCACACAGAGCTATCCAATCCCACCAGCATCAAAAACAGAGGATTCTTTACCTGTGCCCATCTGATCTCTTGGCTCTGCAAAGCTGCATCCAATCACTGGGTGTAAGGTTGACTTCCACAAAGGATTTTTTAAAGCCACAGTAAAGGAGGCATGAGTGCCACGGGCCATAATTTCTTCTTTTAATTATTTAATGTCTTTAAAGGCCAAAGTATTATGCTGCCTGATTTGCTGTCCTTGCAGACCAATAACCTCCACAACAAAATAAATTTGCCTCTCTTTACTTAGATTATTTAGTCTATCCTGGATTTCTCGAATTTCCGCCTCTATGTCAATAGGGGCAGAGGCAGCAGCAAAAGAATTTGAAGCAGCAAGAAATGAATTCTGCCACGGGGGTCTTATGGACACATCTCTGTTTGCTTCCTTCCTTTTCTCTCTTCCAACTTTTTTAACAGTACAATCTCCCTTTCTAAAGTCTCTTCTTCCTCTTCTATATCCCTTTTAGTACTTTTAACTTCCCCCTCCTCAAAGCTCTTAATAGACTTCACAGATCCTTCATCCTGAATCTCCTCAAAGGTTTTGGTCAAATTCTCTAATTGTTCTGTCACTTTTACATTATCACTGAGAAGAGCATCTTTGACTAAACACCATAACAAAAATGTTGTTTGGGAAATTCTTCTAGTCCTCGCTCTTTTAAAGCTTTATGAAGGTCAGCTTTTACCTGCTTCCAATCAAGAATATTAAAACCCCCTGCTTATGGAAACCAGGGACTAAATTCTAAAACTGTCTTAATGAACTCTTGTGCTGTCTTGGTTTTAATAGACCTTGTTTCATGAAAAGAACTATCAACTGGTCAGTCAATACTTAAACAGAATTACTAGCACCCATCTTCAATTCACCCTCACCATCAATATCTTACCTGCTGGCCAGCCTTCTGAGGGCGCTCTCTCAGGAGTCCCTACTTCCTGATCTCGCTGGTGGCCTCCAACTGTAGTGTCTGTGCAACAGGACAGTTTGCGAGTCAGGAAAGGGACTGGAGATTAAAGAACACAAGAGACGTGGGTCATTCGTGAAGAGAGAATGCAGAATGCCATTTATTCAAGCTTAGAGAAAGCCTTATATACCTAACTGCTGCACAGTGGCCATCCCAATGGCAGGTGGCAAATTACCAGGCTCAAGACAGAGCAAACAACTCCCCTGTACCTAACCACCAGGGTGGGCAGAGCGAGCACAGGAACAAACAAGATGTTTTGCCAGAAACTTCAAGCTATCCTTGATATGAACCCTGGGAGGAGGGGTAGACTTGAGGGCCCTATACATACCATGTTCACCTTTCTGGGTCTGGGTTACCTCACTCAGGACGTTTTTTTTCTAGTTCCATCTATTTGCATGAAAATTTCAAGATGTCATTGCATTTACCATTGAGTAGTACTCCATTATGTAAATGTACCACATTTTCTTTACTCATTCTTCAGTTGAGGGGCATTTAAGTTGTTTCCAGGTTCTGGCTATTACAAATAATGCTGCTATGAACATAGTTGAACAGATGCCCTTGTAGTATGATTGAGCATCTTTTGGGACACCCTGAAAGCAGTGCTAAAAGGAAAGTTCATAGCACTAACTGCCTACATACAGAAAGTGGAGAAATAGAGTGTAGGCAAGGGTTCAGAGACATCGCTGCCAAGCTGGGAACCAGGGAGATGGCCGAGACAGACCCCAAGACCATGCAGGACATCACCTTGGTGCTGGAGACGCTCCTGCGGCAGATGCAAGACAAGTTTCAGGTCATGTCCGACCAGATCATTGGAAGGATCGATGACATGAGCAGTCGCATTGACAACGTGGAGAAAAATATCTCTGACCTCATGTCCCAGGCTGGAGTGGAAGAACTGGAAGGCAAAAATAAAAACAAAGAAAACAATACAAAAAAATCAATTAAAAAAAAGAGCTGGTTCTTTGAGAAAAATCAACAAGATAAACAAACCCTTATCCAAACTAACCAAAAGGTAGAGAGAGAACATCCAAATTAACAAAATCAGAAATGAAAACAACAGACACTGAGGAAATTCAGAGAATCATTAGGTCATACTACAAAAACCTGTACTTCATAAAATTAGAAAATATAGAAGAAATGGACAATTTTCTGGATAGGTACCATATACCAAAATAAAATCAAAATCAGATGAAGAATTTAAATAGACCTATAACCTACAAAAGAAATAGAAGCTGTCATCAAAAGCATCCCAACCAAAAGAAGCCCAAGAACCAATAGTTTTAGCACAGAATTCTAACAGAACTTCAAAAAAGAGCTAATACCTATACTCCTCAAATTGTTCCACATAATAGAAACAAAAGGAACATTGCCAAACTCTTTCTATGAGACTACAGTTACCCTGATACCGAAACCACACAAAGACTCAACCAAGAATAAGAATTACACACCAATCTCCCTCATGAACATTGATGCAAAAATACTGGCAAATCGAATCCAAGGAGATAACAAAACAATCATCCACATGATCAAGTCGGCTGCAGGGCTGGTTCAACATACAAAAAAATCTATCAATGTAATCCACTATATAAATAAACTGAAAGAAAAACATATGATTGTCTCATTAAATGCTGAAAAAGTATTTGACAAAATCCAATACCCCTTCATGACAAAGGTCTTGGAGAAATCAGGGATACAAGGAACATATCTAAACATAATAAAAGTTGACAACCAACATCAAATTAAATGGAGAGAAACTCAGGAACTCACTAAAATCAGGAACAAGACAAAGCTGTCTGCTCTCTCCATATCTATTCAACATTGTTCTTGATGTTCTAGCTAGAACAATAAGAAAACAAAAGGAGATTAAGGGGATACAAATTGGAAAGGAAGAAGTCAAACTTTTGCCATTCACAGATGATATGATAGCATACATAAACCACCCCAAAAATTCTACCAGGAAACTCCTACAGCTGATAAACACCTTCTGTAATGTAGCAGAATACAAGACTAACTCAGAATTTAATATTTTTATTGTTCCAACAGGTGTTAGCTTTACATTATCAAGGCTCAAAGTTTAGGGTTGATTCATCAGCATATTGGAGCTAGTTTGGGGTTGTCTCATTAATATACCAGAGGTTCATTAACACATCTAACATGTAGATTCGGATCAACTCAGAGCAGTCCTGTGGCTGGTTCATTCAGTCTTGCAAGCATTACAGAATGGACTCTGACTAGCTCCAGTGGGCAAGCAAGGCTCTGGCAGGCCTTGCCCTTCTCTCCCATTCCCTCTGCTTTGCTAAAAACCATTAGATTATATTCCTAAATCTAGCCACCAAGGTCTACTCCCTTATTTGGCCACTTCCTCCTCCTGTGGCTAACTTCCAAGGTCCAGCTATCAAAGTATTGAATTCCTGTGGGACAATATTATATAGGCCACATACTTCTGCATTGTATCAGCAGCGAGGCTCTCAAGCCACAATAGCAACAGAGGTGCTGAAAGCATCTTCAGACTGGCTGTCTCCTGAGCTCAGGATATGCTGATGTTGTGCTGCTCCTTTGTAATTATGGAGATCGCCTGGGAAAAGGTGTTAATTCCAAGCTAGTGACAGAGCTGCAGACATGACTTTAGTCCTGCTACCCCGGAAACAGAATGCTAAAGAACTCACCCCCTCAGTTTACCTTGAGAGATAAAAGATGTTTGGAGACTAAATACAGGTGATCTTCAGGATTCGAATGAACCCTGAGACTTCCTTCCGATATTGCTGTGTGAACTGTGTCTCAATTATTCCCATGCCTCCATGCCTGTCCAGAGGGATAGTTTATGTTGGAGTTGGACCCCAACATAGTGGCACCTACAAGGTGGGGCTGACTGCTGAACCCTGAGAAATGCTGGAGAAGTGACCAGAAGTATAGAGGAGAATGTGAGGAACCCACGAGAGAAAATTTCACCACAGGTGGATACCTGAGTATAAGCATGAGCGCTCAGAAATAAAAAAAATAGAATTTAAAGAAGTATAATAAGGTGGGACAGTAATATCGGGGGTAAAATTTGTAAATATAGAAATATGGGCTGGCACCAGACCCCGACAAAGTCCAGCAACCAAAAGCCCCCTTCGGCTCACCTAATTAAAATGCCCGATTAAAATTAAACATCTCTTCCTAACACTGGGTTTCTCCTTTTCCCTCTATGTTGGTTTTTGGTTTTCGAGACAGGGTTTCTCTGTATAACCTTTGCTGTCCTGGAGCTATCTCTGTAGCCTCAAACTCAGAGATCCTCCTGCTTCTGCCTCCTGTGCTGGGAGTAAAGGTGTGTGCTACCACCGCCTGGCACCCCCTTTACTTTTTTGAACTGCTATTTATGTGCCATGCCCATGTGTGTCTCCTCTCTATCCATAGATAGTCCTTTATCCAGTCCAGTTGTCCATCCTCCAGTGCCACACAACCCCCAGCCCTAGCACAAATACCCCTTTGCCCTCTCCCTTGTTCTCCTTCCCTCTCCTTCATCTTCTATCTCCTGTCTTTGTCTCTTATTCTCTGCCTTCTATCCCTCTGCGACAAATAAATCTCCTTTGTGCTGAGAACTTGGTCTTGGGGTATATTGAGACAACTTTAGTGTTACATACAATTATATTATTCCAAGCCACATAAAATGGTTTTCATGTTACGTAAAATGATTTCACTTATGTTCCTAACAGCTATACATCATTTTACATTATTTTAGTTTTAAAATTACATTTATTTATTTAGAATATGAGGCAAGACCTGTATATGGAGGTCAAAACACAACTTTTAAGTTCTCTTCTTCCACCATGTGAGTGGCAGGGATTGCATTCAGATTGTCAGACTTGGAGACAAGCACCTTTCCCCACTGAGCCATCTCACTGACCTGTAAATTATAATTTTTTAAACAAATTTGACCTATATATAGGTCCCATCATAGTTATGTGTTTTAATATCGAAATCAGTGGTTCTCAACCTTGTTATTGCTGAGATCCTTTAATACAGTTCCTCATGTTGTGTTGACCCCCAACCATAAAATTATTTTCGTTTCTACTTCATAACTGTAATTTTTATTAGTTATGACTTGTAAATATTTGATATATAAGATATCAGATATATGACCCCTGTGAAAAGATCGCTAAAGGGGTCATGACCCAAAGGTTGAGAAACACTGATCTAAATGAACTATTCTTTTTTCAGTACTGAGGATCAGTCCTGAGCTGTGTACATATGGTAGACAATGCTTTACCATTAAGCTATACCACTATTCCTGTATGGACAAGACTTGAAGAAAAAAAAAGTAACTTCTTAAATTGGCCATCCTGGGTGACATTCTTCTTTATCTTATATTGGTTTATATTTTCAAATATCTGTTTTATTTTACTTACATATGTGTGTGTGTCTTACAAAGACTAGAGATCCACATGGATCCTCCTCCAGAACTCTTCACCTTATTTTTTTTGAGACAAAGTCTGTCATTGAACTTGAAACTCACCAATTCAGCTAGACTGTTTGGCCTGCAACCCTAGGGATCCTCCTGTCTCTGTTTCCCTAGTGCTAAGATTATGGGTACATGGTGCCACACCTAGCTTTTGATGTGGGTGTAGGCAGAGTTTCTCTGTGTCTTGGCAGTGGCTCCCAAATAATCATTCAGAGACTTACTATTAATTATAAATGCTTGAGCTACAGTTCAGGCTTGTTACTAGCTAACTCTTCTTACATTTTAAGTTAACCCATATTTCTTATCTACCCTCTGTCACATGACTGTACCTTCTTTCAACACAGCATGTTCATCTTGCTTCTCTTTGCATCTCCCGAGACTTCCCAGACTCTGCCCTTCATCTTCACAGGACTCTCTCTGCCCGAAAATCCTGCCTAGCGATTGGCCAATCAGCTTTTTACTTACAATGAGAGCGACATATTTTCACAGCATACAGAAGGATTATTCCACAGCATGTGGATGCTGGTGATCTGAACTCAGCTCCTCATGTTTGAGCAAGAAGCACTTTAGAGCCTGACACATCTCCTCCAGTTCCTATTTTTTAACACTTCTCCAATGACCCCCACATCACACTTCTAATCATGTACCGGTGAGGCCCAAGTCATGTCTCCACTGATAGATAAGCAGAAAGAATGCCTTCCCTTCCCAGTGAGGGAGCCTATGAATTCTAATGTCTCTGTGAGAAAGGAAAGAATGTTCAGGCCTTCCACTCACTTGGTGGGGAGGGGGCGGTTTCTATGGTAGACAAATACTTAATACAACTGAAAATCAGACAATGGTTGCCCATGGAAGGCCAAAGAGGACTTTCTCATCATGATAGGTAAGGACAGAAGAAGAGACAAGATTATGACTGTGACAAAAGCCTGGAAGCTTAAAACAAAGGCCAAGTGGATCAGGGGAGGACAAGTTCAAGGTCAGACCTGAATGTGTTTACTCCAAATTTGTGGCCCTATCAGCTTCTCTGTCTTTGCTTAGGGTGACCAAATCTAAATTGTTATAGGAAGACTTCTCCTCAAAGACGATTAGAACCTCAGCCCTCCAGAAGAGACCAGGTTTCAGCTCCCCATGTATCCCTCTACTTGGCAGAGGGTCTTTTTCTCTGTGCCTTGAGGTTATAGTATTCTCACCCCTAATAAAAGCTTTCTTTACTGACTGTGTCTCCTGTGTTTGGGATTTCTCCTACTGCTACCTGTTGTGCTTCAGAATATCCCTGCCTTTTCATTCTTTAATTGGTAGAGTAGATGAAGTCAGTCAAGACCCTAGAGCAGTGGTTCTCAACCTTCCTAATGCTGTGACCCTTTAATACAGTTCCTCATGTTGTGCTGACCTCCAACCATGAAATTATTTTGTTACTACTTTAGAACTGTAACTTTGCTACTATTATGAGTCATAATGTAAATATCTGT